GATATTTGGTAGCTATAACTATAGACTGTAGAGGTATAGACTCTATGCTAGAGTACAGATGACTACTACATACAGTAAGGTATTGAGTTACTAATAAGGTTATAGGTAAAAACAGAACTGTAAATCATATATTAGGATATGGCTAATTCATTGTACTTTGGCTGGTGTGAATAATGTCTACGTAAATACTGTAGTCGTATCCATATCGGATTAATGATGGTCCATAGTAGAATTGTGTTACTTAGAATAATTTACTATGTGTAAAATAAGGTAAAAGGTTGCCATGCGGATTGTAGCTGCGAATACTACGAAAAGTATATAAAGCGTGCAACTTTAGATTATTCTGTTAGTTCTAGAAGTCTTTAGTAGTAGTATTCGGGTAGAGTAGAGCTGTGTGTAGTTAATCTTTGTATAAGATTCAATAAAGCCCTTATTTTCTAAAATTTGGAATTTCGTGATCGGTATATATCACACCATTGTGTTACTGTCGCTTTCATTTGTAGTAAAAGGACTAAAAGTAGAGTCCTTTGTAGTTTTTAGTATGTAATTAGTATTATTTTACTATACAAAATACCTACAAAGTGATAGTGTCTTTAAGTTTTACCCTACCAAATCATCATGTCGCCATCTTTTCTTCTTCATTATTTTACAAGGTATTATATAGATTACTATAGAAGTAGCCCTATCGAGCAAATGCCTAATCTAAACAAAGGGCGTTTGATCGTCTATTCAAATTGTAAAGGAATTTGACTTAGTAGCAAAACCCTATCCTTAGAGAAAGGGGATTTATAACATGACGATAAAGTACTGTAATGTAGTCTATACTCGTACAGTTACAGTACAATCTGACGCTAAAACATCAACTGTCAATACTCGCGAATACTAAGCGATACTAATGTCAGAAAAGTAGTCGTAGTAGTCATATAAATTTTTTTGATAAGCGATTACTGTGATCTTCATAAAAAGCGAATTTTTCCGGATTTGTGTCCGATATAGTTTTCGGATTCTGGGACCGGTCGGGTTTGTGTCCGATATAATTTTCCTATTTTGGAACCGGTCGGGTTTATTTTTAATTTATGTCTGAATTATAATTTTTCTGTTTTAATTTTTGGATTTTTGTTCATGAAAAATATCGTAAGAGTTGATTTTTGAGATTTGGACTTTTGGAATTTTATGACGTTACTTGAAGTCACATTAGGAGATTTAGTGAGGAAAATAGAAAATAAGATGGAAATTGGCAGAGGTTGTGTTGATTATTAGGTAGTAGTTAGAATGTTGTTTTTATGACTAAATCTTGATGTTTAAAGGTTGACTTTTAGACTTTTATAGTGTATTAATGATAGAAATTATGTTAGAAATGAAATTTGATGTATTTTTATAGTTAGCTTGTTAGTTTTATAGTGTTTTGCAAGGGAATCGTAGGGTGCGAAAATTGTGTCTGAACTTTGAATGATTTTTGTTTTCTTAAATGGTGCAAAGTAGTTTTCTAAAAAGGATCTTAAGAGCGATTGGTTAGCAAATGTTTAGTTTTAAATACCTCAGACGGGCTCTACGAAGCCTATAAATGATAGTGCAATTAGAAAATTGAAAGAGAGAGTAGAAGAAGATTTTATTTGAAGAACTTGTTGAATTTAAAAGGCCTTCGGGGTCGAATTTGTCGTAAGTTAAAACGTTCTTCTTTTTGAAAGGTTGTTTGGTCGTTGATAGTTTTTAAGTCTGTCATTTATTTTAATAATACTTAAAGCTAAGTATTTATAAGGTTGTTCGGTTTATACTTCTCTCCATTTTTGTTCGGTTATTTCCCCTAAATTTTATTTGGTGTCAAAGTATTAGCGTTAAGTCGACCAGAGTGCAACGAAAGTAGAATCAAAGTTTGTTAAAGTTTTGTAGCTTGATCTCTACACTTTTCATTTCATTACACATTTAAACTTTATTTAAATTTTTTTATTTAAAAAGTAGGAATTTCAAAATATAGAATTATTCATGATTATTCTAGTATTTTAGATAAAGAAATAAGTTGTCAATCAGCTCCACAGCAAGGTAGCCGATATACATGCTTAGAATGAATGATCAAATTGTAACAAATACTTAGAATGAATGATCAAATTGTAACAAATACGTACAGTATATACTATAACTTTAACTTGCCTGAGATACTGATCTTGCACAAAGGCATTTCTTAATCGAAATAAGATGGAATTATGCTAATCTGGGGATAATAACATATGGATAACTTATTGCCTTCCTAACTATACTTGTTGCTCACTAAGTTCATGAAGTATACCAGAGACTCTAAGGTATCAAGCATAATGCTTTCAATAACTCAATGCAATATTATTTTCGATCTCTTCCTAACCTTAAATAGATTATTGCTATTGAAAAGAAGCATAATCTATTTTATGATTAGCCAATCACATCTTATTATACTAATCTCCTTTACATTTCCGTACTTCTCAATGGAAAAGTTAGCATAATGGCGTTTTAGTCATTAATAAATAACGCCATTACCAGCGACATCATTTTTCTTGAAATTCGTCATTACATGACTTAAGAAATGACTTCTTATTCAACCTACTTCAATATCCCAGGGGTTTCGCAAAACTACTCTAAATTTAGACCAACTTATCCAAATCAAATTTATGAAGAAATTTTAAGCTATATTCATCAATATGCCAAAAAATCTTCTTGGAACCTTGCTGTCGATGTTGCATGCGGACCAGGACTATGTACGCAACCGCTTGGTAAATATTTTAAACAAGTTATCGGACTCGATTACAGCCATGCTCAAATTACAGAAGCTAAAATCATCAACCAGACCCATAATGTACAATTCCAAACTGGTTCAGCATATGAATTGCCTTGCGATGATAATAGTGTCGACCTAGTAACTTGTGCACAAGCGCTACATTGCTTGGATGAAGAAAAATTCTTCGCTGAAGTAGAGCGTGTTCTAAAACCCGGAACAGGGTGTCTAGCTTTATACTCATATAAAGTTTGCTCCATTTCTAATTGTGACAAAGCTAACCAACTATTAAGTCATGTAAGTTTTGAGACGCTAGATTTTCGGCCAATATTCATCAGCGTCTACGAAAATATTCAGAGTGAATAATTTCCATGTATTATAGAATAGTTCAATCAATATTTTTACCACTTAAAAGACTACAGCAGTATTTCGTCATGACACCTAAAAGTGCAATCAGTCCCTATCTATTCCTGATCACTCTTAAATTATTGCGTTATGATAACTTACGAAGACTTATAAATTAGCCTTAAGATAAAAGATTATCGGCCTTCTAAATTGAGCCACTAACGGCATCTAAATTGGCACACTATTTCTTTCCGAGCATTCTACATTATAGCACGTTCAGATTTGATCTAGAAATTTATTAGCGTGACAAAGCTTTTAACTGATAATTTATTAGCCTGCTGTGAAATTTGTTACTCTGTTCATCAGTATCACTATAGCCATATTGCTACTTTCTTTTATAAAATTATAAGTATAACTCAGCTGGCTCTAGTTGCTTGAGTATAATCTTACTATCAAAAACTTCAAAGCTTGTTATTTCAATCGCTTCAACGGATCAAATTTCGTATTGCAACAACTTCTTAGCATACCTTTAAGTGAGCATATGGATGTCAAATCTGCGTAAAGATTATTGACCATTAGATATTTCTATTAATTTCATTTTAGATCATCCTTATGTAGCAAACTTTATTTTAAATCTACCGCAACTATAGCCGTGCAAATCTATTGACAGCTAGCGAAGCTTTTCTTATATTTCAAATTAAATACTTTGACCATATCTTGAGACAGCTTCTGTTTTAAAAATTCATTTTATTGATTCTAACTTTGTACGTTTATCTCTTACTCTATTTTACTTTATAGTTTATTAACGTGACTTTGCGAGATTATTTTGTCAAGAAATGGTATAACGACACTGCTTATGGCCATGTTATTCTACCTTACTGTGATCACACCAAGTATGATATTTTCTGCAATTTCTCTATCCTATTACTTTATCTTTCAGTGTGTTAGAGCCAAAACCGTAGTAGTTTATAGTAAGATCAATGTTGTTGCTGACTCACATTTGGAACAGCATAGTAAAAAATCAATCTACCATATAGCCTATTTACGCAATTAGTATTAGCTAACAGTTTTAACCTATACGAAAATTCAAATTAAAGTGAAAGCTAGAGCAGATTTATGGTAGATTTATGGCTATAAAGATTTTATACAATAGAGTCTTCAGCTGACAATATTTATGCATTTTCAATTTAATAACTTTAAAACTGCAATAGGAATGAATCTATGTCCATGACTGGCAGTATGTCACTAGAGGATTTTATCAATTTTATTAAATCATGGGCTACATATCATCGACTTTTACAAGATGCTACTACTGATCCATTGCCAGAATTAAGAGTAAAGTAAGAAAAGTCTATTAAAAGAAGTATCCTTATCCCAACTTTAATACCTTGATGAATAAAATGTGGCATGTAGTTACTAGTTATTAGGATTACATTCAGAAGAAACGGTTGATTGAAAACTGTCCGAATTCCATCTTTAATGCCTTAATGAATAAGATATATCATGTATTTACTAGCTATTAAGATTACGTTCAGAAGAAACAGTTGATTAGAAACCATCCTTATTCCAACATTAATGCCTTGATAAATAAGTTATGGCATGTAGTTACTAATTATTGGGATTATATTTAGAATAAATAGTTGATTGAAATCTAATATTGATATAGCTAATAGGGACGTAGTGTTTTATGATAATGAAACTATCACTATGAATAATTCTATAATTTCTTGTCATAGATTACAAGAGGCTTTAATGGAGACTACCGGAGCTGATATTATTGAATATCGCTTTCCAGTATTTTTACTACAATGGCGTAAACCGTAAATGGTATATCCTGAACATAATCATCGTCTATACGATTAATAACTGAAAGTATTTCAAATATAGTTGATATTATATCACTTATTAGCCTATTCTATAAACAAGCCTATCAATAGTTATCTAAGCTCATTATCAAAAACTTTAGATTTAAGATTAAAAGATATTATCAAATCTAATTTAACCTTCCTTATGTAATTTCACATGCTAAACTATCTTATACTGCTTAAAATAATTGTGGGTTTAGCATTATGATGTGAAGAAGCTATTGGATGAATCATCCAATATCCACCACTAGATTGTAGCTTAAGATAATTATTACAGAATAAAAGCAAAGCAAACATATCATACGAAGCCTTTCAAACTACTTCTCTAGGCGTTGTTCATGAAATAAATTATCATACATTGCCTCAACTTTTGATAGCTCATTTATTAACTGCGATCAAACAGGCGTTTATTACCATCTTTCGACCGTTTTATACGAGAGCAATTTAAGTAATAAATTATCTCAGCTTCAAGATGTTCAAATTAATGTTATGTTCATTGATACAGTAGTGGGAGAGTGAAATGATGAGTAGAGCATAATGCTTGAATAGAATGTAAGGTAGCCATTAATTTTGCAATGCTTTATCATGTTACCAATTTTCGACGGATTCTAGAGTACTACTAGACATTTTTCATGCTAATCAAGGAAATAACGGATCTTTAGAATTTATTAGCTATAAGGAGAAACAGACGTCTGTACTGTTTCGCTGAGGGTTACTGAAATATAAATTATCTCAAATTTAAGTCAAGAACCAGTTTTATGATAACAGAATTACTATTTTTAATACTGAAAATTACAGAAAAATAAAAAAGAATGCGAGGTTTTTTCCCTTCCAATTAGTTTTTCTCATTAATCATAAGAAATAATGTAAACTAAGTGCTGCCGATGATACCTATTAACGAAATTAATACAACTGTTGAGGTTATGCATCAGTTTCAATGAAAGAAATAGTCTTCTATTTCCACCTTTTTAATCTGGGATATAGTTAGAGCAATTTAGAAATACATCATCTCAATCACAAACTAGATATCTACCTTACGATAATACTTGCAATAGTTTATAATATTTAAAGTTACGCATAAACTATTGCAAGATAGAATACATGCCATTTATTTTTCCCATAGTTTAGTGCATAAATTTATTTTTTACTATCGTATCTATGTTTGGTTTAGTCTGTAAGTTTATTTTATACTATCAAATCTATGCTTATCTCAACAATGGTGACAATGAAGCATTATATTTCAACAAAACACCAGTGATTTATGCCGTTAAAACTACAACAAAGCAGTTTAACCCTGTTTCTAAAGAATGCAAGATATAGGCAATATCGGTTTGCTAAATATGTTCCGAACCATAAGCTCTTCACTGATAACCGCAATAATGCTGTTTCTGTATATTACGAAGATAAAAGAACAAAGATAGCATGGTTAATTTGATTGTTTTCTGAATTTAGCGAATAAGTCAGTTAACTATTAAAATTTATTGCCTATCTGTCGGCGTAACATAATTGAAATAATTTTCTCTTGTTATACGTTGATGTAACAAACCTTGCACATCTGGGCTGTCATTTTAGTTCCACACCAAAGGCTAGGACCAAGACGACAAACATTCAATGTTTTAGGAGCCATTTCAGACTCTTTGCATAAACTCAAGAACTAAAGCAAAGTTCAAGAGTGTCAGTAGAGATATGTATCTAAAATGAACTGTTTTCTATTTTATGTGTGATAAAGTTTAATTACCTGGCATGCTTTAGAAGGAGAAATATCGGAATTAAGCATTTGGAATATTAACTTGACATTTGCCAAGCTTTCTTTACACTAAGATTTAATAGTGATCAAAAAGGATACTTAGATTCCTTAAGAAGTGATGGCAGTTTTATAATAATGTTACTGAGATCTTACTGCCTGTCGTAATTCTCCAGCAGGTACTTTGGTATTACAAAGTACTTTAAAGCCATTAAGTATTTCATTCTAGTTATTTATACAAATATAGCCAATATTAGTATTTCATATTGCAAAAATGTCTACGTAGTTGCTTTGCTGAAGCAGCCCTCTTACGAGCCCTATATGTTGATTATACATGCCTCAGTTTTGTTGATCTTCATAAGTTGTTCCACCATTCGAACTGCTACTTCGCAGGCAACGCAAAAACTTGATGCAAGTTTAGTTGGAGCAACTAATTCAACGCCTGATTCAATTATCTTTAGATTAGTATTACGTATTGATATTCAGCAAACTCGATGTTTGAACAGCGCTTGTATGCTTAAATCGACTTACCGTAGTTGCCGAGTGTCGACTTTGGACATGCATTAATGTAATAAGCGCATACTTGTTTAGCTGGTAAATATTGCAGCAAAGCTTGTAAAATTGGAGGACCAAATTGATTGACATAGCTTTGGCACTAGATGATATAATAGATAAAATTACATCGATACTAGCGATAGAATGATTGAATTGGTCTAATACTATATTTTAACTGTATAACATGAAGAATTTAGATTATCTCGTGTAAGTATAGATTATGCACTTAATAAGGTATAATTATGATGGCAATGGCGGCCACATGAAGGCTGATTAGCTAAATCCACTTTATTGCATTTTCGATGATTATCAAATTTGCATATAAATTAATAATCATTATGTGAGGAATATGTATTTATTTTCGTGTATTCAGCGTATATATCATTACTATTATGCCACTTTATAGCGCTATATTTACGATGGTACACTGTAGTACTGCACAGTTACCTATATGTAGCACTGTAGATGAAATGAAAATAAACTTATTTCAGTAACTAAGCTCAAAGGCACTAGAAAAATTTTTGTAAATTATTTTTTGAGAAGAAATCGAGAAATCAAAGCAGACTGAAATTCTAGTCATGCAGATAAGATTAATAATGTAAAGCTTGGCACACTCACCTCTCTACTCAATCTTTGAGGAAGATATTTACAGAAGCGGTCGGTTTCAGCAACAATCTTATCCTACAAGATAATATCAAGCTTCATTGGAGTTCCCTATGGCATTGACTTATTATGAAATGAAAAGCGATGCTATTGTATTAGCTGATACCTCGCTATAATCCATAGCTTATCAAGATAGCCAGCAGACAAGGAATAAATTATTACAATATATACCGGTAGATATTTACCTCTGTCTTTTGATTTCCAATTGCAGAATCAATTTTTCCCACTAACACGGAACACACAATGCAGCTTAGAGAATCCTAAATTTTACGTCATAGAAATAGTTTAAGTAACCCTAAGATTTGTACTCCCAATAATAGTACTAATTCTTAAATTAGAGATCAGGGTAAGGTATTTTTACCTCTTTATTTGTTTGTATCTTTTCGGTTATAGTATGTAAGTTCGGCTTTCTCACTACACCAGGAGCTAAACTGTCTTTAATCGTATCATGATTGAGGACATTTTGGACAATGCCAGGAGCAAGGATTTCTTTAAGTTTATCTACCGTTGAACTTGTCGATGAGCACATGTCAAATAATGAACATATTTTTTGGGGCGCCTTATAAAGAGAAAATGAGTGCAAAACCATACTCATATTTCAATGTATTATGACTAGAACAGAAGATATGCTGAACTATTACTAGTAATGCATAGATTATATTCCATTCCATCAATTACTAGAACAGAATTCGATTTAGATTTGTTGTATACGACTAGAATTATAGTTTATAGCTCTATTTTTCGGCTTAAGTTTTCTTAAAATTGAAAGAATACTTAGAAAATAATCTATATTGCTAACAGTTGAATCCAGAAATTTGTCCAAAAACGGCATTAAATCATGATTTGCAATATACTGGCACTAGAATTAAAAATACATATTAAAAGAGCGCTTACTGATCATTTACACGTATACAGCGTGGGATGATAACAATTAATCAAGGGTTAGATAGTTATCAAGAAAGATTAAAATTAGACCTAACATCGAATATATCCGTTCATATTTAGATATCTTACCGTTGTAGAGAGATCTGAGACATCATTCTTACAAAAGTTTACCAAGAAATCTTTGATCTCAGTCTGAATATAAATAAAAATATAACATTATAATTTATAATTTTTACCATAATAAATATACTAGTAAAGAAGTAAGAAACCTTGAGTTTGCCAGTATCGATAGCTTCCTTGACAAGCTCTTCGCAAGTATCGCAGAGAAAACCGCCACAAAATCCTTGCTGCCATTTTAATTAAAGTAAAAGAATCGATTACTATAATGTACATATACGCAACGCTAATTACCTTGAATTGAATGCCTATCAAATCTACTATAGAGTAAAGATGGCGCATTCATATCAGCGAGATTTTGTTATATTGTACAAATATTAGAAAAAAATACTCCATTATTTCATCTAAATTACATCGACCCGAGGTGTTTACGTTAGCATGCATTATTTTCCTTCGTGTTTATTTACCCGGTTCATACGCATATTGTAAACATACACGTAAAGCAATTTTACGTCAATTAAAATGGCCTAATTAAAGGTAATGTTGTTCATTGTGCTCTATCTTAAATATTTTATTCATTAATAGCAACAAATAATAAATTATAATAAATAAAAAATTAACTCCTATAAAAATATTTTCAAAATGTCATAATCGAGCAAAAACCATAAAATTAAGAGATAGGCTACAATAAAGTAGATAGAATATGAGCTTGCTAGGAGCCATGTTACATCAATTAAAGTCTGTAACTTCATTCTATTTAGAGACGATATTTGCTCCAGTTGTAGATATTTAACGGTAATACATTTTCTGGCTTCACAAATGATAAAGTAGTTGTAATCTTAGCTTTAAATTGATAATTTTGATAAAAAATTGAACTAAAAAGAATGTACTTCTGTGATATAGAATAACCCATTCTATCAGTAATAAAATAGAAAGAATCTTTCCTGGATTTTATGACATTAATTTGCTTCTCGGATATCGATGTTTAAATATAGTAGATTCAGATAGAATTCTTAATTTTTTATCTCTAATAGTGGACGGTAAGCTATATCGAAGATGCAATATCCAGAATGATGGTCTCGCTAAAACCACACCATAAAAAGGACTTACTCTCCTTATCTGTGAATATCATAAAATGAATTACTTTCTGTAATGAAAACCGTTGATATTTTGGGGGGTATTAATAACGATCACGATCTCTAGTGACTACTTAGATAAGCATGGATATTAACTAAGTAAAAGAGTGAGAAAATTGATTCCAATAAATACTACCATCGTTAATTAACCTAGCGAGAACTTGTTAAGTGATTTTACACTTACTTGATATAGTAATTAATATTCATTCCTAGGGCGCTTAAGCTAGTAAATGTCCTTACTCTGGTAATTAAAAATTTGGGTGATCATGAATTCTGGTGCGTAGCCCAACTGATGCTCCTCAATGAATTTAAGGAAATCATCCCAGAAATAAGGATACTTCTATCTCCATCAATATTGTCAGCAATACTAAAACTGATCAGACTTTGTAAAAACTGTGTACTGACTAGTCATTATTTTGCATAATATAAAAATACTATATGCAACATCCAAGGAGTGGCTCCTTTATGGATATTTTCTTCGATGTAAAATATTGACGGTACCCTACTATATATGATTTAACGATAAAAGATACAACACTGATACCTTATACAATCAGATGGCGTTCAAGAAGGTCATAATTTTTATCTGATTGGTTTTCTTATATGAGCTTAAGTAATTTACGTCGCGTTTAAAAGTATTAAATGATATAGTCAAATCATTAACTGAAACTCTAGCCATGAACTAATATTTCCGCCATTCGCAGGTAAAAAACTCTTAATTACGTATTATTTATGTAATAAGAATTTGCATGTTAACTCCTTTACAGTTCATATATAACATCATCAATTAAGCAATTAATCAATAAGCAAATTCGTTTACCGGATTTTTACTCCATACGTGCTGCATACAATGATAGTTTGCACCGCATTCGGCCGCAGTTTTAAACGATTGACACCAATAAGATGGACCCCAAGTACAAAAATTACTACCAAGAATCTGTTTGCCAACGCTTAAGCTTGAAGTGCAAACTAAAATTGGGCATCAATAACATTCCTTTATAAAGTAATTGCATTCAAGATAAGTTATAATGAGTAGAAAAAAATACAAGCGTTGATAAATCCTTATTCTTAGGCAATTAAAATTTATTACTTGTAAATAAAAGAATCGTTAGCAATTTAGATGCCATTTCGCGATTTTCAATGTTTGTTTCCCCAAAAAATTAATCAACTAAGCTCCTAATAATACATGTAGCACACTTTTCAATACTCTTATTCTTCTGTTGTTTTTTATGATGCATTATTTGTGCTATATCTAAAGTAAATATTAACATTAATTCTTATTATGTTCTCTATACGATGATTTATTTAGCTAAGCAATTAATCACCTGACAATCATACGGCATTTATCATTTTGAGCTCACAGTGGGACTTTGTTTTTTACGTTTTCCTTTGCTGTAATTTAGATTTTATTAAAATTCAACTTAAATTGTTCTAGTAAGTTAAATCCTTCGATTGATGAATTTTTCCTTATTGTAACGGAATAAATGAAAATATTTGAATTCCGAAATAGCGACAGTACTACAGTACATTAATGTCAACATTTAAAAGGAAAAAAATGAGAAGTGATGGGTCAGCTTTGCAATTACTGATTTTTACACCAAGCATTCTGTTAAATATTGAGTTCATCAAGTGCAATCAATCGCTTTTACATGGTTAAAGAGATCGATATTACCTAAACTTTAGCTAATATGGCTAATTATTGCTATTGGTAGCGTCGCTATAAGCGTAGCTTGATTGTCTCAGATTTCACCTTAAAACTCCCTTAATGTCATTTTCAATGGTTATGATTTTGTTATTTATTTCATCGCAGTTCTAGTTAAAATTGATACCTCTAAATTTAAGAGTTCAGATTTATTTTATTAATACAGTCGTATCTTTAATAACGATTGCTTCATTTATTTCTCCATTTTTCGTTGCCGAAATTATTTAAATACTTCTATTCTAAGTTGGATGATAACTGCATTTCCTATAATAATCCAATTTTATAAGAATACAGTATTACTTCTAGGTGATTAAACAGCCTGAGGTACCATAAAGAGGCTAAGATCTATCGGTAATAGAGGATTGACGTTAGATTTTCATTTCCATATGATAGGGAAAGAAACTGTTTTTTGTTACTTTAGCCGCGGAAGTAGTCATGAATGGTAAGAATAATCTTGTACTTTTTCTAATAGCAATCTGTTACAACTTCCAAATTTTGTAACAAGTACTAGATCTGCACTCAGCAAGGAGACCCAGCAATTAAGTTGAAGAACTAACTTTATTGTTAAATTAAAGAGTTTATATACTTTCTTTATTGTGACCTTTGATCTACTGACGTAGGTCACAAGATCATCACTAACAGAAAGGTTTCCCTAGTTTAGACATTGCAAATAGAATATCATACCAAGTATGGCAACATGAGAATACATATTTAGATAACCTTAATATAGTACCATAACTACATCTATATACGCATGACGTGATAACATCGTGATATTTAACCATATATAGAAAGAAGGTAACATACTAATTATGTAACTATTACAGAATGTGACACAATCTCAATATTATCATTCACCTTTACTAAGGTAACAAATGCCATTTATATCTGATATTCAATCTTTCTCCATCTTTGCTATTACGATCAGCCTTTGGTTCAGCTATTTATACAGCAAGCTTATTCGGATTAGCTGGCGTTTTTCCTGGGCATTATTTACAGACTGTGATTACTGGACAGGTTAAGAGTAACCAATATTGCGCACATTAAAGAATTTATGAACGATAAAATCTAATTTTCCGCCATAAGATGGAGAAATGAATAGATTTACTCATGATGATTATTTAAAAACTTTATGACTGATTAATCAGTATTTTATCAACGTCAGGCTACTGCAAACATATTTGCAGCCATGGTTAGCTCGATTTCCCTGGCAGGTAAGCTTGCTTTTTCTATTTACGAAATTGAAGAATGCTTTATCTCAGTCTATCTTTATTTGACGATATAGTATTAATAGGGTTTAGTCAATGATGTAGCTTGTTTATGCTTATTCTTGTTGATTTCTGGTAAATTATAACTACCGATAATCCTTACGATAGTGCACTTGGATATCTTTTGCTGTGGAGTAGCTGTCCTTTTTATCTGCTTTTCATCGTATAGTATTCTTAAAAGGATGATCAGCCTATCAAAGCCTTCAGTCAATAAACTATATTTATTTAAGAGATATCGAAATTTATTTTAATTTTTTAACGAAACTTAGCAGGGATTTCGTATTTCTGAAATGTATCTTACAGAAATTTTCACGATACTACATGAAAAATTTAGAATATGGTAAGATTGCTCATTTCTTACTGACATCATACCGTTACTAAATACTATAGTGACATCGTCCCTTGTGTTGCTGATGCTTTAATTCAACTAATTTTATCTCAACAGGAAGTGCTATAAATTTAACACAAAAAGACGCTGGCGAATAATCCAAAGATGCTGTCATAACGGAAACAGGAACCAGTACCTTTGGAAATCTTCAATATTTGCTCAACATTTGGAAAAAGGTTGGAATTTTACAGAGTAGATAATAATGAATTGGAATTGCTTCTTATCCTTCTCATTATTTCAAAATCATTAAATAGTAATAATAAAAGGATTACTAAGAATTGATTAAATAGTTACGTCTGCTGGTTTTACCGCAGATTTGGCCAGTTGCTATGTCGGTTCTCTTGGCTTTTGCTATAACGGCAACCATCTATCCAGCTCTACTAGTTTTAGCCCAGTCATCACAAGCTGCTCCTGATTATAAAATTACTCGTAAGAGATATTCATCTTCAGCTACGTTTTTAAGAATCATAACGACAAAATTAATTAGGCTCTTAGACCTTATTTGCAGTAGAAATGAAATAAAAAATGCGACTATTATTTTAATAAAACCTTATAAGTTCAAGATTATGTCACAGATCTTATAACTTTATTTTATGCTTTAGATAAATTCTTTATTCCATTAGTAGTATTTCTTGCATTCAGTGTGTCAGACTTCTTAGGTGAAGTTCTTGCTGCATGGGTTTTACAGGTAATCCATATTATCAATCTTTCTATAGGGAATATACAGATACATGTAGAAATGTACTCAATTGCCAATTATGTTGAGAAGGTAAATAATAACTAAATTATTGATCTTATTTGCGATCGGAAATTAAGGTCTTATTGCTCTTTTTTCTTCTTTACAATTGCTATGTTCTCGATTATTTTGAGTAGATTGATAGCTCAACTACTAATCTTACGTGCACTGGTAAAGAAAGACAATTGCTGCTATTTCTTTATTTAAAATTACTATATTATCAACATCTTGATTAGGTTAATAGCTTTAACTATTAATGTTATTCACGCTAGTGAATAAGATTTTATTACCCTTCTATCTTCTTTTAGAATTACTTTGTTACCGATAGCTTGAGTAGATTGATAGCTTTATTGTTGGTCTTATTCACGCTCATGAATTAAGATTTTAATATTCCTCTTTCTTACTTATAGCTGTTTATGTGCATATTGCACATAGTTAATGTGCGCTGTTTCATCATTCCAGTTATAGCCTGTACTTAATTTATGAATCACGGCTAACTAATCTATAGCATAAGCTTTTCTCATATTTACTAGCCCATTTCAAAACATGTAACTGCGCAAAATAGTTCAAATGTTTACACAATTTCGATTAAATGTCATAATTTCTTTACACAATTATTGTGGATTATAATTATGAAATGCCCATACAGTAAAATAAATTACAGCATATCATCTATGGAATTGCTAAAAGATGCATATAAATAAAGTTATAATCTAATTTGATTGGCTAAAATTTCCATAATTTAATACGATTAGCCAAAAATTGCTTATTTCTTTACCTTTACTCTTTCTACTTACAATTTAGAAATACTGTAGCACACTACAACCGCAAGATCATTTAGATCATTAAAGTGATGCACTAATCATAATAATTTGCATACCTTTATTCGATATAAAAAATACACTAATCTACAAATTTATAACGGTACAACAGTTATAACACAGCAGAGCAATCACAAATAAACGTATTTATCTACTTCAAATTCTGCTCATCAATAAAGTACAGCAGCCACAAGGAAAGATAGCGCTGATCCTATACCAAAACCAGAAACTATTGCAAAATAGGACATAGATCCTGCAGATTCACGATAACTTGAGTTAACACGCCTGTTATGAAAGAATTGATTCATGGTAAGGTAAAAGTGATCAATGACTTAAAACTTAAAAAATTTGCCTTTAAAGTAAAACAATTTTATATCAATGCAATTCTAATAAATGTAGGATAAAAAAACCCATAAATTTACTACTTCCTAATTTACGAATATTGCTATACAAAAAGCAATAATTTCATGATAGATTTAAATGAGAGTCATTCCAAGACAACTCACATTGGTGCATGCATTACTCCTATTGCTTTAATGTACCCATGACTTAATGCGAATAGTGTAATGATCAATACATAGGCAGCATCGTTGGGAATTAATACTGGTATCGATTTCCTCCTTGGTTGAGCATTGCAGTAAAAGATTAAAGGAATAAAAATAATTCTACCAAGAGATAATATCATTAAGGTTATCCCTCTTTTGGCGCTAGGCTAAAAAGATTCAGAAGATAAATCTGAGCTACGTATTTTCATCAGCAATACAAATGATTAATCCTAAATCCATTTATTTCAATGAGATCTCAGTTGATTTTAACGTACTCACCCATAATACCCAAACAGAGATTGTCCTTCCTACCATATCAGCAGTAGCAAACAATAGAAATGTCGTTATCGGAATATATAATTTACCTAAAAGTTAAAACGAAAAATATAAAAATTGCCGTTTTACACCATATTGACCGATAGATGATAATCTCATTATAATGCAAATTATAGTCGAAACAAAAGTGAAGGCTGTTGTTACTTCATCTAAACTGATTATCTCAGAAAATTTTAGTTTGTTGTATTTCTATTGGAACATTCGTTAATTATTGTAGTACGGATTAATAGAGTTGATAGTACTTTATATTGCATGATCGGAAACTGTGCGATAAGACTTTAGCACGGTAAATATTTGAATTAATTGCTTTAAAACATCCGAACCAGCCGATCAATATGCTTTATTATTTATAATTTATACCAATGTCACATTAATTTTTATCTCCATAACTCTTATATAAAATAGTTTTGCAAAGATTTTTTTTTATTTCATTTAGAAGGCAGATTTAAAATTTTAAAAATTTTAAACTACGTATATCCCGTAGAGGATAATGCGATACTATCAGGCCTGCGTTGATAATTCATTTTATTTCAAGGCCATTTAATAGCAGAGTTTGATAGTTGAAGGCATAACTTATAATTGCAGGCTTAAATTTTAAGCCAAGATCCATTAATATACCTGTAAATAAGTCATTATCACCCCTATCAACGGATGCAACACGAGAACAAATTGCTGGATAGACTGTATAGGTTACGGTGTAGCAGGTGAATAATGCGACAGTTGTTGGCCAAGTCTATCATTGAATTAGATATTACAACTACGTATTGAAATTGCCAAAATGCATAAAAAATAGAATGGATCTTTATCCTAACCTCTTTAAAGACGTAATTTATCCTTTGGTAGTTGCTCAGCTTTCGATTATACATCGGCTTAATTTCTTCGTCCATTTCCTCACCATCTTCTTCAATTAAGGTAATTTTTTCTACGGTTTTCTTACCTTTAAAATTAAATTTGTAAGATCATTCTTTATCTTATAAGAAGATTTATTATAACTTATTTACTCATATATTATTTTTATTAATAGTAGATAATTTTTATAAAGTACCGCACTCTAAATTTCGCATATAATACTTCGCGAATTCCTATTTTAATGGAAAAGAATATATTACGGAATGATTAATTATCTAAAATTCATTTTGTATAATTAAAGGAAGCAGCAATATCATGCCCAGCTTACCACCCTTCCAAGGAGAAATTGAATGCACATACAAAGCATAAGAAGAACAACACCACTGGAAAAATAACCAAGTCCACTATCATAAACAGATTTCCCAACTAGAGCAAAGATGATTGCAGCATTATTAAAATCTATCAATTTATAAAGACTGTTTTCTGTTATTAAAAGTCTATCTTTGGTATATTTATTCCTTAATTTTGACTCTCTATAAGCCGATATAGGACATACCGATCAGGGAAATAATGCTTGCTAAAGCGGTAAGAATCGCCGATAAAGCCTATAAAATATCGTGATTGAAATAAATGTTATAACGACCTCAAAAGAAACTAACCAAATTTATTATACTGTATTATTGTTACACTTCTGTTTACATATATTTGTGCCTATATTTTTCAAAATTTTATTGCCTATGTATCTATAAATTAAGTATAATTTTCTATCCTATAATTGCATATATTTGAAAAAGAGCTGTATTTGCATACTGGTATTTTATTCGAGATGAAACATAATAAAAATTTTACTAAATTATTATAATAATAGCTATACTCATTATTCCAACGCTAGTTCTATTGCCACTTTCATATCGTAATATTCCGTATAAAAACTTCTTCGTTACTGAATCATACATTATACACCAGTAAATATGCATATTTCGATGCTAATTATAGTTATATTTACAATATTTATATTAATTTTAGAAATACTATATTTTACGAAAAAGTTAAGTATTGGTCTCCACAATACCTGACCACACTGAACAGCTTGACTATAGTTCTTGGGAAATACACCAACTAATCCATAAAGACTAGATTGATACATAGAATTTCCAAACACTGTATATACACAAAAATAGGATAGTCATAACATATAATTGAGATTGCAACTCTAATTCAACAATTTCAAATCTTTCATTTCATTATAAGATCGACTTCATCAGCTATTAAATGATTTAACTACCGTAATGTGTTACTCTAAGAATTTTTCACTTACAACCAGTAAGAATGACGGTTATAATGGTCAGAGCAAAGAATGTAATTTTCCCTATCAGAGTGAATAAAAATTATTTGTTTGTCTTAAAGTCCACCTAAAATACTGAACATAATCGCAACCCATTCGTACACAGCTGCTGCTGTTCGTTAACAGTATATTTAAGATATCACTAAGTAGCAATAATGTTTTTGATCAAGTAACTCTTAATCTCTATTGGCAGTAATGCGACACTACAACATTGAACTGGAAAAACGTAATTTTCATTAATTATTTTAACTACTATGAGTGGTTATCAGAAATGTAAAGACGAATCCAATCATCTTCTTACAATTTGTGGTGTCCAGTTTAGACATAAAAGCAGTAAAAATGAAAGATATAGTTAAAACTATTAAGCCAAATATCATTCGGTGCTTGACATTTATCCTAGAATAAAAAAGACATGATTATTCTTTGATACGCTTGATTATTGCAGTCAAAATTTACCAAGGATTTCAATTACTATAACTTATCTATCAATAAATGAAATAAAATTTTGCATATTCTTTATGCTATTTCAGTTATTAATAAGATAGAACAATCTATATTTATATGGTATATCAATACTTTATGTTAATTATTTCATATCATCTATTTAGTATACGGTAAAAGTGTGATACTTAGCCCACTACTAAGAAAATAGCATTGTAGTCAAAATAATAAATACAGTCTTTGGTGCTTACTAAAGGCTTAGTAGCAATAGTGTTGGCAAGCTATTATGAAATAGCTAATGCTTTATTTCATACAATCCACTAAAGCATGAAATTATGTAGACCTGATTGTTTATTTGCGACAGCGCATTACTTATTTATTATAGCTACGCTTATACTTACGATTTAAGTAATCGCAAATTAGCTGCTGAGGCGAAAATAGTTGAAATTGAGTATGCTACTATAATATAATTTTCAAAGTTATATTGATATGGAGTTCCTTTCAGCTTGACAGAATAATACTAATGAAGAATTAAATATAAAAACTAGTTTTCAATGAACACTTGTTGATTCTTGAATTATAACTATTCAAATAAAAAATCTGCTAAAAGTCAAATCTTATCGTGATCAGTGACTAATCCTACATACCGCTTCAGCAGTCATAAATATATGAATTGGAAGAGAACTAGCATTACCCAGGATAAAAAATAGTATATAAACCAGATGAAATCTGCATAAAAATAAAGAAAAATCATTTATTGAGACTAATAATTAAAATATTCAGTTTCATAGTCTGGATTTTAAGACTAATCACCCATTTTATCAGTTTTAAGACTCGATATCGCATTTACGCAAAGTAAAGTTACTAAAAATAGCAATTCTATTCTAATTAGAAATTTTAATGTTTTAAGATCCGATTTTATCCGATATTCCATACTAAGTTCGAGGAAAAGTTTTGAAGATATTTTTAACAAATTTTTGCTGTAAGACGGTATATTAATTAGAATGATATGTGAATTTATAACAATTTTTATTGCATTCCGTTCTTTATAATACCATATAAATTCAACGCTTTAATAGATTCAATTTATGTGATTATCATTCTGAATCTACTGCTACTTATCTATTTTTTTTAGCCTTAAAATAATGCTTAATGTTTATGCGATCTTATCCGTATACTCGTAGACAATTATCAATCAAGACTGGGATAGATCTTCAAACTGAAACAATTATTTTCTATCATATCGGAGTGTAACGAAACTCAGTATTTTGATTGTAGACTTTTAGCTATGTTTAGTAAGATGTACAGAAGCGCATCTTTCTATATTTATCTTAAGACGTATTTGGTAGTTCGCTGCTATGGACTGTAATAGTAGATTCTATGCTACAGTACAAATGACTATATATAGTAAGGTGTTTAGCTACTATTAAAGCTAGAAGTAAAAATAGAACAGTAATTCATATATTAAGATATGCTTAGTTTACCGTACTTTGACTGCTAAGAATAATATCTACCGAGATGCTGTAGTTGTTTCCGTATCGGATTAATGATGGTCCGATATAAAATGTTGTTACTAATAATTTGACTATGTGTAAATTATGGTAGAAAGCTGCTATGCTGATTGTAGCTGCGAAAGCTACGGAGAGTATAAAAGCAGGAGACATTACATTTTATGGTTGTTCTTTCTAGAAGTCTTTCGGTAGTTGTATTTGGCTAGAGTAGAGCTGTGTGTAGCTAGTCTTTACATTAGATCTAATAAAGTTCTAATTTTCTACAACTTAGAATATTCGTGATCGAGTGTTATCTCATGGATTTAGTAATTATGGTGTTAGCATACTTTATTCGAAATAAACTTTAAAGTATCTAATTGTATCTAGTCAAGAGAATAATTGCCGATGGAGAAATTTATTAATTTGACTTTTATTAGATATCAACGAGCATAGAAAGAGAACTGAATGGAGACTGTTCAACTTATGATTTCACGTATGTGATAAATAACAAAATAATTACCAAGATATGACAGACATCATTACCTGTCTTTAGGTACTCTTCTTTTTTCCAATAAAATTTTTTCTTCAATAATTGGCTGATTAGAATTATCTTCTACAGTCATGATAGTATTTTTCAAGCATTTATAAATTAAAAAATTTAAATGAACAATATTTTTAGGATAGCAAAAAGGGATATAGAGCTTATGCTTTACCAAATGTGATTATTTGGGTAATCGTTTTGATAAATAAACGTAATCTAAAGGTTTTGAAGATCAAAGCATAGACGTACATCAGTATTTCTATCGCTAATCATAGATTCTAATATTGCATTATTGTAGCAAACTTTTACATTAGTAATCATTATGGTATGATTGCACCATATGGAAGCTAAATTTATTACTTTACGACATTACGTTTGCAATCAGGGTCAATTTCGACAGCGAATGATTAAAGACTACAGACTAAGGTAAAAATGGCAATCACGTGCAATTCGAATCTTCAAATGTAGCGTGTGAGGGAAGGTTGCCGGTCGCACAATAATTGAATTATGTAGTCCTTAAATGATTGAACAATCTAAATGAATGCAGAGTTTTAGAGCATAATTAGATTATTAATCATTACTACGAAAATCTGTTCTGTCGCCTTGAATTCTACCTTTGTGTATCCATCATCTCTTGAGTTGCAACTTTGCTTTTTTAGCTGTTTTATTAGCTATTTCGACATGGTTGTAATCTTTTGACAATTCAAGAAGCCACAACCTTCGCTAAATAGTCTTAGGTAACCATAAAATACCAATGTACGTAAATTAATAGGCCGCTTAGCAGTTACGCTCAACATAAACTAATGTGTAATATTACATAATATTGAAAACAATTATAAAAATCAAACCTTTGTGGCCTCTGGATATTTGTTAATTACTGGTTCTTTTAGAAAAAACACGGTAATTTCTAAAGTAATAATTTCATGGAATCAATCAAAACATAATGACAATTATATCGGCAATAGAATAAGAATAAGAAATCATACCAAATAGACAAAACTAAACATAGTTTTTAGCATTCTAGTTGCACCACCTAGTATATCGAGTAGATTGCGTAATTATAAGGTAATTCTATATCTACTTTTAATCTAATTATTGCCATAGTAAAGAATTGAAGTATTTTCATTTATTAGACTGTTACAAATTGCAGTTTAGCATCATAAAAAATTCTATAAGTAATTAATATATTATTTTGTCTAGGTTCTAATCGTAAATTACCCATTAAATGCGGCTTTTATTTTTGTTATGATACGATTACGTTCTTATACATACAGAACTATGATGCTTAATTAATATATATCTTCAATTATTAATTCAAGTTATACATCACACTGTTAAGAATGAGAGCTCGTATTTCGATTACGACCTCTTCTATTTTTGGTAATTATGCCTAATGGCCTCGAATTAAAACAGGGACTTTCGAATAAGTTGCCTTAAATTGTCTCTCAATTACCGGTAACGAGATTTACTCTATCAAGATCTTTCAATCTGTAGTTATAGATACTACCAATTTGTGATAGCTCGTTTTAATTCGTTAAAGATTTGATCACCTTGTCAATGATAAAGGCTTTTGCTTTTTTATCAATTGTGATGCTAGCATTATAAATTAAATTACTCAAAATTTGAACCCTTACACTCGTGGCAACTGACAAATTAGCGGAGCAGCATACGGTCAAAATTGAATTTAGGAACGACAGAAATCATGATTGCGCTATCAAATTTAAAATTACTAGACTAAAGAGTAGCAACGGTTAAAGGATGAGAGTACTATAGTATAGGAAATTGATCATTTCTGTAGTGATATGCGAAATTGACATCTATGGACACGTTAAATTTTATGATCTCTTTTACCATCTGCTGATTTAATCATAGTTAGAATACCTAAACTCGCTCATTTGTAACTGGATAAAATTAAAATTCAATTTAAGCCAAAAATAAAATGATTGTCATTAAATACAGATTTCTATTGATCTCTCCAGCTTCTCTCAATTATGCAGTCATAAAATTATCTTTGTTGATTACGATATGCCGATGGGGTGTTAGAAATTACCGGCTCTATTATTTTTATGCTAGAAATTAGATTTAGCTTTCTGTGGCTAATAATTAATTTTAAATATGATTTTATAGTCGTAACCAATTTTATCGAAACTGATCTATTTTAACACCTTTATACCGCTATGGGTCAAGATTTGATAAAGATTAGGAATGAAGATGGAGTTTACTTCTACAGTTGATAATATTATGTTTGATAGCATTGATATTGCATACCTTAACAATAGATTACTTTCACATTAGAAATACGAATTTCTTAATGTCGGTTCGATTTATATACACGATTAATTTAAAGATCATTTCATTATTTTAAAATTTGCAACTATTGCTGCATTTAGCTAAGTTAGTAATTCACGAAATTGATTTCATCGTCACTTATCCACTGATATTCTAGGTTGAGAATATTTTCTGTAGCAACATACAGGGAAAAATCGAACTATAAAGAGCACGTAAACATCCCCCCCCCCCTCCTAGGTAAGATTCTTAGCCAACCTTTATTATGGCTGACTTGAAACTACTATCGATATGCCAGTTTCGTAAAAAAAATAAGTATACTTCATTGAGGATAGTTAATATATGGTATCGTATAGAATTAAACAGTCTAGGCATTGGAACAATTCAGCTAGGGTGCTGAGCCAATACGACGTCATCTTTTCTATTAGCGCGTGCATTTTGGCATGTCTTTGAGATTTACCAATTTGCTTTTTATGTCTTCGCCATTAATTTCATCAAACCCTACCTACTTATTAATTAAACTGAAAGCACTTACCTTATTGGTTTATTGGCCATAATCGTATTTCGGCATAAATGACCAATAGTAGCCTCAATTTAATATAGATCAATCCTTTGGATGGCTACTTTTCAATATTCCCATTGGAGAATTTTATTGATTGCTAATTGAATCAATCGTGCACGATGATTGATTATACTAGATTGCACAATTTGGATATTTAAAAGTTTGACCTTTTTACTTAGTATTATTTTATCGATTTTCCTTAAAGAAACTTCCGTCAGTCTCATTGTCGAATTAGTAGACAATTTATATTGTGAAGGTTAACTTACTTTATTATAGTATACCAAAAAAGCAGCAAAATGACTACTTATTCATCTTTATTTAATATTCCTGGTGTATCCCAAAATTATTCTCGATTTAGACCAACCTATCCTCCTCAACTTTATTCAGAGATAGCCAATTTTGTTCGTCAACGCGTTGAGGAATCTCCGTTGGATTTTGCCATTGATGTCGCCTGTGGACCAGGCTTATGTACCCAACCTTTAGGCCAGTATTTTAAGCAAGTTAAAGGGCTAGATGCTAGCCATTCCCAAATTGAAGAGGCATCCAGCATTAATAAAGTTGAAAATGTTCAATTTGAAATTGGTTCAGCTTACCAATTGCCATGTGAAGACAACAGTGTCGATCTTGTGACATGTGCTCAAGCATTGCATGGCCTAGATGAAGAGAAATTTTTTGCAGAAGTGGACCGGATATTAAAACCTGGCCGAGGTTGTTTAGCTTTATATGCATATAAAGTGTGTACTATTACTAATAGCGAGAAGGCTAATCAACTATTTGATCATGTAAGTCAAGAAATTGATCGATGCTTTCTTTTACCTTAAATGTTCTTCTATGTGTTACCGTGGCTGTTATGCTTGCAATTGAATTATCCAAACAAGAATTCAGTTTGACTGACTTTTTACACGTATTCTAAGTTACTTTCTATACACGAGTATATATAGTATTGATCAAACAGCTATGGATGTTGGACAATCTTATATGAACCTAAACTATGATTTAGATAGATTGAGTTAGATAAGCGTAGATATCAGTATAGGATGATCTTGATATTTGCGAAGAATATTTTATCAACTAGCAATTCATCATTTACAGTTTCCATCTTATGTTAAAGATCATTTTTCATCGAATTATGTAGTCATTTTTTGTTCATAATGTTTATAGCGTTATATTCAGCATATTGCTATAATAAGCGTTGTAGGAAACGCTAGTTTTATACTCTTGTATCACCTTGGACCTCATGACTATTCTCACTTTTTCATTTTCATAGTTTGTTAACGTAACTTTAAAAGACTATTTTCTGAAGAAATGGTACAATGATAATGGATATGCTCATATTGAGCTTCCGTATAAAGATCATGCCAGGTAATAACGGAATTTGATAATTACGACTTTCATTCGATCTTGTTATTACAAGGCATAAATTTAAATTGATAAAGCACGTTTTATGATAGCAATCTGAGAGAAAACTTATAGCTTCAGTAAATAGTATTAAAATAATTTGAATTAGTCCATATCACTTATTCATTCTTCCAATTAAAGTTGACAAAATTTAATTATCAGAGTAAAGTTCAGTTTAACTGCTGAATAAGATAAAACTTGGAATAGACTATTTTTTTAAATTAGGGTAGAGTGTAAGTAGATAATAGTGTACTTAAAAATAAAATTAGGAATGATGAAATGGCTATGAAGGGTAGTATGACATTAGACGAATTCATCAATTTCATCCGATCATGGGCTACTTGTAACCGATTGTTACGTGATGTATCGACGGATCCATTACCGGAGTTAGGAGCAAAGTAAGTTCACTGGATAGAAAATACTTGTAATTTAGCATTTTACCGTTCCTTTGATTGCTACATCAAATTACAACATTAGCGTTCTAATCTAGCCAAGGATTAGAGTAAATAATCCTTGTTTTCTTACTACGTAACTCATTGTGATAAAGCATCTTCTCAAAACCAAAACAAGATCTACTCGTACAGTTTTTTATCAAATTTCATTTTATTACATAAGTTAGATTCGTCTAACTACTTACACTTATAGTATCGTCGTGTAAGGCATTCAATCAAATTCATGTAGTCGGTCAATTAAAAATTAAAGAATTTTCGAGAAAGGATTGGATGTAGTTAACTGTAACGGATAGCTACTGATATTTACTAACACTATTATAGTATGCGTATTATCGTGTTAAAAATGCCTCATTAGATGAATTATACTAGCAGAAAACTCCTAAAAAATAAGTATTTTTTCAATTATTCTTATGACTGATGTAAATAAAAGCTTGTAAAGCATGAAAATACATCATTTACTTAATCTCTTTCCGACACTTATCATTTATATAATTTATTGGATATATTATAATCACTTGTAGCTCTTTGCTCCGAAATTGAGAGTAAAAAAGTTATCCGTACGTTGCAATGACAGTTTCATGCCAAATCCATTAGCAGTATACTGATTTAGTTTCAATATCTTATAGCCTTGTAGTGCCGCGTAAATTTTAAGATCCCTTCTGTATTAACTAGCAAAGTAATACTTTAGTTTTAAGTCCTAAGTACTATAGAAAGTTATAGTGTTTTTCTAATTCTAGCAAATTGATCAAATATAAGTGAAGTAAAGTAAGAGAGATCTTACAAGCCTATTACAAAGGAAGTAGTTATACTAACTAATCAAATTAAACCTCTTATTCTAGAATATCTGAAGCACTGATAGAGAGCACTGGAAAGGATATTGTTGAATACCATTTCCCAGTGTTTTTAGTCATGTGGCGTAAATTATAACTCTTTCTTGGCTAACTTAAAATAATGGCGTTCTTGGATCATTTTAATTGTATGGATGATGGTCGTTAAGCTAGTCATCGCTGCTTCGCTAATACTAGGACATAGCTCTATCCAATTTGCACTTGCTGTCTTGGCTCTGTAGGCAATAGGCATCATAATTCAATCAGCATTGACACGAATCTGACAAAACAATTGTAGGACGAACCATAAGTTATAATGTTATTCTATAAGGCCAAGCGTCAAAGTGTTTAGGAATATCACTAACTCTTCGATATGCAAACACTATCGTGCCTTATACGAGTTTACCTGTACGTTGTAGGAAAATAACTCAGTATCATTCATCATTATAATTCTATTCTATCAATATCAAGAATTACAGTATTCATCTAGAAGCAATTTTGGTCATTTCGCTTTTTCTTGTATGCATTCATACTTATTGTCAGCACGAATAAAGAAATAAAAATCATAAAGTATTGGAAATGTGTATCTTATTTCCATGACTATGATTAAATGTGGGTTTAAGAAAGTACGATATTGCATAATCTAATTTAAAAGGGCTGAGATGGAATCTTCAGGTTACATGTTTTGATACTAGTATAAGTTAACCCAGGTTAGCAGAAACCTGTAATGAACTTGGACGTAGCATGCATTTTTGTACAAGCTCTCATAGACGCGTCGATTATTTTTTTTTTTACCTTCCACACTTTCATTGCTATGTTGCAAGCCGTTAGCATATCCTTCGAATAGGTTACTGAATCTTGATGGCAAAAATTCAGTATTGCTAGTTTTTCAATTTCCCACATATTGCATACGACTCTTTTTCATCCCCTAATTGGCAGTATTCAAGTATACTTACTTATTCTCCATCACATCTGTGGGTTTTCCTTCGTTAATGTACTTCTAGGATATCTACTGTAGAAGTCCATGACGAAAGGCATTTTTGAGTACTGTAGTTCATAATTGAGCGATGAGTTGCTCGTTTACATCACTTCGATTACAGTTGGCATACCATTTTACTCATGAGTATTCAAGAATTCTAGATCATACACTCGAATTATTACTCATTCATTCGCGCCTATGATTGATGAAACTTTGCATCAAGGGCTACTACAAGAAAAGGAGATTGCATTGCACGGTGCTTCTATCATTGCTATAATTGACTCATAATGAGTGATAAATAGCTAGTTTACCTTCACTTTGACTGCTTGTACAGTTCGCATACCATTTCATTGGCGAGTATTCAAGAACTCTAGTCCAGATCCTACAGTAGAATTATTTTTCACTCATTTGCTTCTAACTGATGATGCTTTGCATCTGGGGCTACTACAAGAAAAGGAGACTAATTGTATAGTTTGCATACCATTTTCTGCAGGAGTAATCAAGAATTCTAGAATATACACTAGAATTATTGCTCACTCATTCGTTTATGACGGATGATACTTTTCATCAAGGCCATCTAAGGGCTACTACAAGAAAAGAGAAATGCATTGCAATGTGTTTCTATAATAGACTCATCATGAGTGACGAGTAGGTAGTTTACGTTCCTTTGAACTACTTGTATAATGCACCTTTCCAACACCATTTTATTCATGAGTATTCAATAACTCTGGTCTAGATTATGCAGTAGCATTATTGCTCACTCATTTGCTTATGACTGATAATACATTGCATTCATTCCATTTCACGGACCAACCAAGATTCTGAAACGTCACATCGTGCTATACCATACTAGTAAAATGAAATTGATGCAATACTTTGCATCAAGGGCTGCTAGAAGCAAAGGAGAATGCATTGCAATGTGTTTCTATAATAGACTCATCATGAGTGACGAGTACCTTCCTTTTAACTACTTGTATAATGCACAGTTCCAACGCCATCCCATCATACTATACCGTACTAGTTAAATGAAATTGATGCAATACTTTACATCAAGGGCTACTATAAGAAAAGGAGAATGTATTTCACTTTGACTACCTGCACACTTCGAATACCATGTTTCTCCATCAGTATTTAACAACGGTAGATGATCGATTAGAATGATTACTCACTTATTGGCTTATGACTAATGATACTGTACTTTACATCAGGGGCTACTACAAGAAAAGGAGACCACTTTACACAGTGTTTCTATCATTCCTTCATCATCCCATTGCCATCAAAAGGACTCCTATCGCCTACAAATATTAATGAATCCTCGATCGCCATCATCTTCCCATCTTCGACTGCTTGTTTGATTTATGTTAATGAATGCACCGAGAACTCGTGAGCATGGCGTGAAGGAAGCCCAAGCCTACAGTACGTCCTGTAAATATACAGTACATTGTACTGTAATCGGGGCTTGTTGGTGAGTGACTGGGTAGCCTTGACGTCACTGGCGTATAGCTGAACTTTGCGACTCTTGAGTTCGAGTCTATCGTATATTACATGGGCAATGTACGAGTATCTCTATTGTTTGAATTTTTAAGTAAACTATTGAATGGGTTAGTTTATCTCCAAGTGGAATTGCACCTAAAAGTACTGTAGGCTGTAGTCCTTGGACTAATGTACCCAAACCAGCATTAAAATCCAGTCAAATTCTTTCGTTCTTTGAGCTTTTCTTCTCTCTCTATCAGCAATACTCATACCAAACAGTTTCTCAATCCAAATGACATTCTCTTCCATACCATTGCTACCCATACACGAGCTGCTAATCGAGTAGAATCGTTTCTTTATCAAGACTAAACCAATCGCCACTATCAATGCCAGCTGAACAGTCGAACGGGCACCCACACTCTTGTCAGAATGATGACAAGAGTTGTTAAAAATCTTTTAATCGCAATATCTAGATCGGATAATCGGTGTTCAATTCTAGCAAATCTCATCCGATTATCGTCATTGCAATATGCTTCGAAGTAAATGGAATAGCGGAGGCAGTGGTGATCATGCCGAGACTTACAGCAGTACTGATTCTCAAGATGATGTTCGCGGGAAACCGAAAGACAAGTAAGTCGATCGTAGTAGTTAATATCAAGTTGAAGAAATGGGGTAAAAATCACCAAATTCAAATCACAACAAAGTGACAGCAGCGCCCAGTTACAGATGATGATGGTATTGGAAATGAGTCAATAGCGTTCCAATAACTTTCTCACGGATGGAATCGATAGAATGCAAGAGATTACTTGCATTTTATGGGTAGGATAACGTATTATCGATCATCATCGGATCAATCATTCATCTGGCGACTCTGGAGAAGTAATGCACGATCATCAGAATCGAAGTGATGATTGCCGAGGAGTAGAGTTGTCACAATTGATCTACATTATAGACTAAAATGTGCTAAATGACAGCAGCTAACCTTCATTAGACTGGATAAGAACATATGTTGGACACGTTCTATACATTGATTTCTTCATTAAATAACAAAATAACTTATCATTCTTTATCAATCAATAAAAATAATAAATGATCCATCAATTATCAACTAATATGACTTGGGTCTATCCTTTAGGATGAAATTGGTTTATATCCTTTTTTTTATCCAAGGTGTTGGTAGTCTACTACCTTTCAATATGTTTATCACGGCAAGCTTGGTAAGCTACTGTTAATTCAATCCAATTGATATGTAGCCAGAAGAATCGAGTGCAAGCGTCATTCATTCCTTTTAACTTAATTATTTTTTTATTCCTTATATGTGGATGTAGTATTTTACTGTCAAGCTGCAAGGGACACGATTTCAACACACCTTTGAAAATTATATCTCCTTGGCGTCGAGTGTACCCACCATTATCGCTTCCGTAATTACTGTTCGTATGCTTCGATCGTAAGTTTCACTCATATCTAGGCTACGTTATGCTGACAGCATATGGTAACACTTTATTGGCCTATCTTAGACATTGCACTATGCCCTTACAACATGTTGATTTCCATCGAAAGGACATGATTCATTGCTAATTTTTCAATCTTAAATTTATTAACGGCATATGAACTGATATCATAACTAAATTGAATTAATCGAAATGGCAGATATCGTTTACAAACACGGATGGTATTCTCATTGTCGGTTCTGATCATCATGTTCATCTTCACTACAATCATGGTCAAAGTGAACACTTCGAAATGTTAGTTATACAAAGATGTTATAATTGCTACGTTTAGCAAATGATCATTGTTGTAACATGAGCCCTAATTACCCTGGATGTAGTTACATAATATAAACTACCTATACGCGTAATAATTGCAATAAATTATAAAAATAATAATAATCAACCATTCATGGCAATTAAACATGATTTATTTTACAACTGCTATAGGGAAAGAAACGTTCTTTTTTTTAACCATCATCAGCATGATCATCATAAGTTGTACGTCCAATTAACTGGATAGAGCATAGTCATGATAAATTTTTTCCTCAATAATAAAGAAGCAAAGTAGTTGTTGATGATGCTTGAATAGGCTGTCATTTCTTCCAGCTAACTTTGATCAAGCTTCAATTTTTTAATTGCAGTTTTTGGAACTTCAATCTATCAAGCAAGTTTATTTGGATTAGCTGGTGTATTTCCTAAAGAGTACACACAATCACTTATTAGTGGAATGGTTAGCCAATATAATTATAATTATTTCAAGGATGTGGTGTTTTACCAAAATTCAAATTGCTGCTTAAGTGCTATAGTCACTAAATATCTTAGCAATACTAGGATGATATAATAATTATTAATTAATTTAGTATAATTATTAATTTTTGTAGGCTTTAGCAGGTGTATTTGCTGCTTTGGCTAGTATCTTTTCTCTAATTGGTAAGCTATTAATGAGTTTATATCTCAATTGATGAATTACCTTTCTGATGCAAAACTGAGTAACATCAATGTTGCAGGTATAAGTGATCCCTATGATAGTGCGCTGGGCTATTTTAGCTGTGCTGTAGTGGTGCTAATTATCTGCTTGATAACCAACGTCGGACTTGGAAAGCTAGTAAGCGTTGTTGCAGTTATTTTTAGTAGACGTCCAGTAATGCAATTTAGCATTCTTCAGCTAATGCATTTTTGTTTCAAATATAGGAATTTGCCCGGTTTTACATGAAAAATTTAGAGTACGGTAGGTTCATGTAGTTTAATTAATATCAGCTTCATGTATCAGGCACAGATAGCCGAACAATATTGTAACTGTAGCGAGTTGATATACTGGCCATCATCCTTGAGATAATATTGATTAATTTTATACTCATGAACAAAGGTAAATCGGCTGCGCCTGTCCAAGAGGAGACGCATGCTGATGTAGAAGATGTCAACGATGATGCTCGTGATCTACTATATAAGCAGACACTCCATGCCAATTCTTCCAACTATGTCTTATTAATTTGGAAAAGGGTTAGTCATTATAGGAAACACTTTTCTTGACAGTCTTTTCTTACCCTCAATGTCGTTATAGTTCTAAATCGAAAGGAAATACATTGAATCATCATAGATGCTCCTTTTGATCTTACACTATATCAATCATAACCCGCTTTTTAATACTGCATACAATAACAGGTATGGCCTGTCGGAACAGCCGTTTTTCTATGTTTCACCGTCACCTTGTCCATATTTCCAGCGGTTATGGCTCGTATTCAGTCGGTTGATAGAGTGCCAAATAATGTTTTCACTGGTAATTTAGTAATGTGATTCTGACGCAATGTAGTTTCTTTACCTTCATTTCAGCCGCAAAGGATCCTTAAATTAAGGATATCATTTATTTTTAAAATCACTGCAAATCCTTATATACTTCTCCAGATAAGCTATTTACACCTCTTTGCTGCTTCCTCCTTTTCAATACGAGCGACTTTGTTGGACGAGCAATTTCAGTTTGGATTCTTGTGGTAACTTGACATAACTTGAATCTATTTACCTTTACTCCTTTTTGCATCTTCGATTCCGAGAATTTACCTGACTAGATTCACTTGCTTAATATTAATGAAAATTTTTTTATTGGATAGCCAAACTACAATCGTGGAATTTCCATTCTTTTACTCTCTATGAGTAGAATCGCCTTTATACCACTTATCCTTTACTGTAATGCTCAACCAAGATCTCACTTACCGGTCTTAGTCAATAGCGATGTGGTATATATCATTCTATCGTGCTTGATTGGTTTAAGTAACGGTTACATTGCGTCTTTATGCATGATGTTTGGTCCCAGGTAGGTATTGATAGCGAGTGCATTTTTTTGATGCTGTAGACTGGTAAATTTAATTACGACTTGTTTTGACTAAAATAGTATGTAGTGGAAGAACTTTTAATTTTTGCCGGCATTTTCTTTCAATAATTAATTTTACATTTTTAAATAACAATCGATATTTGTTTTATCGGATACTTAGGAGAGTTCATCCCCAATATGCCGAGTCCACCGGAGCTATTATGAATGTGTGCTTAGTTTTAGGACTAGGGGCTGGTTCAGCTTTATCCTTTGCTGTAGTCGCGATGTTATAGATAGATTGCTTTCAATAACGACAATCGTGCATACAAGCACATTGCTCCTTCATAAAATGCATTTCTCTATTCGATACAATTGTTCAAGCAATAGAATCACGTTCTAGTTATATATAGCGTTCCTATTTTTATTGTAAATTTGACGACAAATCAGGCAGATGTAATGACTTTGCATTGCGAATATTTCTACATGATGTACAGAGCTGAAATTATAGGCAAATATAAACATTTATCATTGTAGTTAGATATATATACATTTCTATCATTTTTACTCATGCAGAAAACTGCTAACTAAATGACTGTTACCTTGACCAATTGTACGCGTATCACGCCAATATTGATATATATTCTTTTGCTGCCGCAATTTTACTATGACTATGATTTGAAGGTAATTGCCAAGATAAGATTCAGTTCTAAAGCTGCAGTAATACAGTATTTTGTCAATAAAATATGCTATCGTTCTCAATTTTTGTAATATTTTGCCAATCCTAAATGCTTGACGAGGTCCGTAGGCAAATCGTATTTTAAACACTATAACGAAATGATGACACAAAGAATCGGTGTCTACAGTATAATAATTATTATTATGTTTGTTTATACACAATATATATATTTAAGAGTACAAAATGGCCAAAGATACAACAAGAAATAAATGAAGGATCCTTAGCGGCCATAGTTGATATTAACCAGGAGTATCCGATGATCCACGCAATCGTTATTACGAGGTAATATAGTCTCTTTTGGGTGAATCGCTTTGGAGTATATTCAAGTATTTTCCTCTAGTCATTTCCCTCGCTATATGACAACATCGGCAAAGACAAAACACAGTTATTGCTACAGCATTCAAGTTTCACGTCGGTATAATTGATAACAATTCATTTGTACTCTTTACATAACCACATTTGGTATACTCTAGTTATCGTTTAGAAATGGTGGTTTTATCACTGTTTTACTGAAGGTATGATAACCCTTGATTCCTTTTACGTTTATGGTAAGTTCAGAATTATGATTACAGTCAGCTGTACCCGTATGTGAGCACCTGGCCGTATTCAGTATTAATCATGATGACAATTACCTTCTTCTGAGCCTAATTGATAAGCAAAATTCTGCAAGTCACGGACTTTTTTCAATACTTCTTCTTTGGTAAGGCTAGCAAGTTCTGCATTGCGACAAAGACATTTTTCGAATTGCAATCATAATCTAAACACGATCAGTATATCAAATTACCTTGAATTAGTATTTCTCGATCGTTTTGTGATTCGTCTTGCCATTTACTGGAACCAGGTGTGGCAACAGCAGATGGTGCCGGCTAATACCGATTGCAAAGGATTACAATTATCATTACTGGGGTAATTTACGTACGAGAATGCTGCTATAAAATGAATCAAACGTTGTCATGCTATCGCCATTGCGCAACTCACACTAAATTTGACGTTATATCCAAAAGCTGACGATTATTATAGATATAGTGGATACCAAGGCAGGATCCGATCGCGTTGAATAACATGTTGCATAGTAGCACAGTAGAAGACGGACATTTTAATCAAATAATGACATCAATTAGTACCGTACTGTATGCTATTGGAATGTTCACTCTGAAGTCGTTCATCTTGTTTGGCATTAGCGTTAGCAACTTATATAGACACTACTACAAATACGTGCAAAAGCGGACAACTTACATGGATCTGACCACAAATCGGGGGAATCACGATCTAAATGTTCATCACTTAAGAGTGACCGTAAGCTTTGCTCGATATCTGTGGAAGAATTCGACAGTAAGAATTTTTATATACCGTTCAGTAAGAGCTGTACTAGAATAACGCTGTAGATATTGACTCTATGTGAATCCATTTACAGTACACAACAAAACTAGCCTATTCTTGGGTGTTGTGTACGTGAGTCATAACTGAGCTATTCGCATGTGAGCTGACTATAACACTGTATATATCGAATAATAGCGGTTGCAATCTATATCTACATCATAGCGCAGTATAGGATCATTTCATGGTCCCCATAACATTATAATTTACAGCCATGTCACGTTCAAGACTCATTCAGAGTGTCATCATCATCACTGAAAGTCCGGCAATAATTAACAGAAAACAATTCTTCCTGTCTTTCACAAGTATCCAATGCCAATACAGTACTTTAACGCGTTGCAGTACTGTAGTCATTATAGTATAACTTAATCTGGTAAATCACTACGACGGCAACCTTGCTAGCTAGCTACTAAGAGATCTTCGTCGCCATTCTGCAACTCATACTACCAGTATTTTTCCACCATAGCAAATGCTATTGCTTACCTTGGTCCATGACTTTTCCAATCCAGTATCCCAAGTCGTTACAATGCGTTAATTCGACCTTTTGCTTTCTATTGAACAGAATAGAACAACTCTAAAATGAAATCGTCTCGTTTTCTACCTATTTTTCTCTCTTGAATCAACTTGATAGTTGTCTTGTTGCCACCTAATATAACTTTCTGCAACTATTCCGCCTCTAACTCGATGCCGGCGGTTTTCAGATGGAATTCGTTATTGCTACTGGTTGATGGCCGCCATTAGTGTTGTCGATCAATTGATTGGCTAGAAGGCAATTGTATGGGTAGTAATGGACCGATTGAGTCACTGTACTGTAATACAGTTCTGTACAGTACAATACGTGAAGCGAGATTTCTGTGCACTGTACAGTACAGTACTTTACACTGTAATCTAGACGCCAGGCTGTCCGGTAGTCTGACAGTCCGCGTCTGCGTGGCATTGCCCTTGTTTCTAAGTTACTACCAGCGACTTCTCAATTAAGCAACACAGAATTCTCCCTCCAAGGCCGCAACTAAAAAATTTCCCCCTATATTAAAAATGCTGTATAGTTAGCGTAGTATATTTAGTGCAGGGGAGATTTTTTTATTTACGGCTTTTGAGGGAGAATTCTTACTTGAGTAATCCTTGACTGAACCCGTGGGGTTTGAACGAAACACACCACAGTTTTCCAATATCACCAAAATAAGCTGCGAAGGAAAGGCTGCCTATCAAATACTTTAGAATCATATCGTTGATGCTAAAAGTTGAATCATTAAGATACCTACTAATCTGCAAAGTAAATGAGCTCATACTGGTGTCTATTACTACCTAATATACGGTACATAATACAAATCATGTGCATTAGATGAACCCAGTCAATTTTTATATTACACTATATCCTATACAAATAGGCGAAAACAGTAGTCTAAACCCCGTCCTTGCCAATTTTGCTACTAGGAAAATAAACAATCCAATCCCATGGACCGACATCGCATTATAACCTGTAGGAACCTATGCGCTGTATAATCGTGATGTAATATATGAGTTCGAAATCCGACAACTTAAAAATGAGCTATAATCAACGCTTACTTTATTAAGACATGCAGTTCTACGCTGCATACTATCACTGTGCTCCCTAGCACATAACTGCTGTAATTAGCTGAAATCATCATAAGGATTGAAAAAGTTCACTTTAAAATAATATATATAAAATAATCAATGAAATGCAAGAGTACAGGTATACGAGATACTATTGCAGTAATTTTAGGGAACGGCAGTCATTCTGTGCTTCGATAGTAAGATTGTAATACGAAGTAAACACCACAGAAGAGTACACGCGAATCAGCTGGTGGTACTTAATAAAGTAATCGTAAATTATAGTTGGAATAATAAAAGTTGTAGATAAGATATTTAATCTATTTTAATAATTCAAATTTTGAGTTAACGGATCGCAATCCTTAAAACCGCATTCATTCAAACCTTACGTATGATTATATTGTGGCAGTATATCATAAAATCAAGGGTGCGGTCAGAGACTTATCAGAGAAAACTCTTCTTAAAAGTCCCGGACACGGCAGCCTATTAATTAGAATTATCCAATAATACAACTTAATTTTATTCAAGTTTTATACTTATTGTGACTCTCCAAATTAGCTTTGATCTATAAATACTATTTTTCGGATGACCATGCAATACTTATAACCAGCAAAATAGCCAGATATCGGCTATACAATTTTGACTGGATATAGCTAATATATCTGTTTTTTGTTCATCTTGCGATGGACTGCATGAAACCTCCATCCTTAAAATCGTCTTTAGTTAATGTTGGCTAGGTTATCGCGTACAAAATACCTATCATCATTCTGCTCGGCTATTAGTTATTCCTACCTTTTCGTACATGTTTCTCTTAAAGCCTTAACATAGAAAAGTCTTATGTCGGCAAGGCCATCGATCAGCAGATTTTTATAAATAAAATTCACATTCATCAGCATGGAAATGAATAAGTAAACATTTAATTTCATTTTTATTACACTGTAGCAATTGTCTTTCAATCATAATACCACATTACAATTTTTCTAACATGAATTCAAAAAATCTCCAGTTACTATAGCCAGTATAACTGCTGCGTATGCTAAAAAATTCATCTATGGCAATTTGTGTCCAATACTGTAATCACCTTTTTATAAGGTTACATTCCATTGACTTGATGCTGGAGCCAATGGTCTTTAATATCGCCTGATGCACATTACAGTGTAAATAAAATTATTACCTAGAAAATTGCATTCCATCGAAGTTGTGTAAAACATAGTTTTATATCCGTTGCATTAGACAGCTACTACTTGTCTTACCTTCACCTTATTTTAGTATATGTAACTTAAATATATACTGCAAATCTAGCCTTCTCGTCAAATTAAACTGCTGTTGTAAGTAGTTGCTGGTACGGGTATCATAAGCCTGGAAAATTTCCTCTGAATGTTTATTTTAAGTATTTTAATTGATATAGTTGTCATCACCTCAGCTGCATAGATTATTAGGAAAAGCCTGAATGTGTATATCAGTAATTTTCCATTTATTAGCGACATTATGAATCTCTTTTCTGCGCAAGAAAACGCAATTTGATTCCTGCTCATAATGACTAATTTATTTTTTCATCCTAATACCTACTGTAGTTTGATATACCCCTTTCTATTATTAGCCAGGCTCGATTAATTATTATTATTAACATCAATAAAACATGAGTATATCATACAATAGGAACGATGTTTATGTTTTGCAATTTTAGCCATGGGAGAGAGATTTTTGTAGCAATGTTGTCATTGTAAGGAAAGGGAAATTTCAACGGCAGTTCAATCTCGATAAATCTAGCTAGCATGCCTCCAAGGTAAACATCTAGGTATATCCTATAACAGTTACTCTACCTTTTAATAGAACAAATCATATTTCGTTAGTCCTATAAATGATCAAATTCTGCTCGTAATTTACGCTCACAATACTCGTTGCCGTTCTCTTACTACTGGCCACTATCTTACCGATACTTTTATCCACCTTTAATTTTATCGATACTGTAAATGGTCTATCACCCCAACCAGATTATTATCAAGTTGCCTTGTTTAGCATATTAGATTGTAACTACTTTACCCATGCCGGCTATTGAAGATAAATAGACCATCGGGGACAGTCAGCCATTGTTCATATGTGAAATAGTCAATATATAAGGTATGCACAGCATTACTTTGTAGTAGAGATGTTTTTCAACAATTAGCCTGAAACAAGCTGTTATACAATTGTTAAGTAAAATATATTTACTTAGTTAGCATATCAATATGAATCAATGAGCTTATTTCTATAATTTTCTAGCGCCAGCTATCCAGTCACACATCTTTTTCGTGGATTTCTCTAAAATGGACGATCTGAGCTCTATTTCATACAGCGATGGACAATATTATTACCTATTTGAATATGGATTTCCATAGCCAATTGAATAAATGCTACTTTTAATTTAATTAAAACATTTGCTTGTTTCTATGTTACTTACCTGATGCCTTTGTTTAGTTTCAATCTAGCTGCTATCTGCTCTATCAACAAATTGTATTTATCCGATAATAGGCTGGTCATGTTGCTATGGCGATATTGTCTCTCATATACAATGCTGTAATAACTTTGTTGGAGTAAGAGAAGGCAGAACTTTTTCAATTTTTAATTTATCCTATCAACCATTACGACAAATTATAAATTTAGCCTATTGAGAACAATGTCAAATTTGGCCTGTGTTATATAAGAAGTCAAAAATTAGGAAAATCTACCAATTTAAACTTACATTCAAATCGGCTATAAGGAAGAAAAGTCACCCTGATTGTTGTGTTTTTCATTATTTTTGTAGTTGATGTTGTTAGAATAATTATCATCATGAAACTAAGTTGATGAATACGTCGATTGATTCAAGGCCATAAATATGGAGTTCATTTTCATAAAGTGTAAATAATTTTTCTCTCGGCTTAGTATCTGAGTCGTTAATTAGCCGTTTATTGATTATTCTCGACGTCTAAAAGTTGATAAAAAATTAACATCAACAAGAATACTGTAAAAAGATTCAAGATGGCGATAGAAATGGAAGTTCAAGAACAAGATATTATCGAGCTCTTTGAAGCTGCTGAAAAAGGTGATGGTGACACATTACTTGATGTTATTAATGGTTTAAATCCAAATGTAATTCACAACTCGCCATTACAAGACGGTAAACCTTTATTGATTCATTGTATCCAAAATACCAAGGAAGACGGCTATAGTACGCATTTTCGGTGTTGCGAATTTATTTTATCCGCTGGTTTTGATATCAATGATTACGATAGCTATGGTAGAACTGCATTACATTGGTCTATTCTACTAGATAAAACTGATATTACTCAATTCTTAATTGACGGTGGAGCTAAAGTTGATGCTTATGATCGCGATGGATATACTCCACTTCATTTGGCCATTCAAAATGATAACCATAGATCTGTTCATTTATTATGTCAGGTTGATCCGAAGGTAAGAATTAGATCTAGCTAGTCTATTTGAAGCAATTCAGTGTTATCAAATTACTCCTTATTTTGACGCATGAAACCGTATAATATCAATCCTATAATTGAATTGAGGAATGATGGTTTGTGAATTTCATATATTCATTTGACAGTATGCATCTTAAAATAATTGGTGCGCAAGAGATTAACTTCAAAATATTTCCCCTAACTATTAAAACTTGAAGTTTATAATATCAAGGCAGAAAATGCCTTCATTCCTATCGTTGCTTGATAGCCTATGTGATATGTAGTTATAACTGCTAGTAACGACAGAATCTATGCAAGGTCAAAGCCATTTCGAGGTTCTTCTCATGAATAAAATTTTCACGTTCGCCTTTTTTAACTGTTATAAAAGTTTAGTATCAGCGAAAAGCAAAAAAAAACATTATAACACGATTTAATTTTTCCATTGGATCTATGAAATCAGTTATTTTTCATTATCAAAGACTGTTGCCATATCTAAATGAAAGGATACAGCAAGAGACATATTACATCCATTTTACATTGATAGCCACCTCTCCTTTACTTCTACTTTAATTTCTAATGTATCTAGCTTTAGTTCATTAAAAGATTACATCGTTTTGCATGTAGATTCGAACTTGATTACGAGTGTGATGGTGATTCTGAGTTTTATATTGATTACAGTATATGCAGCATGTGTTGAAACCCTCACTTAAATATTCCACAGTATGTTTAGCCAATAACTAATTGAACGTTTTAATTAAAATTACTTTCGCTGTACTGTTAAGAATCAAATAGATTAATGCCTGATGAATACTCGATATTACATCCGCAGTTCTTGTAAGGGTTTGGCATATTTAGACGAACCTAATAGTACCTTTAACAATTCTATCCTTGTCTATTTCATTATAACTATGCGGCTATATATCTAATAATACTTTTATTAATACGTATGTCTCCATTGCACACCTATTACCCACAATGTTCGCAGACTCCGTTAAGAATAAGTTGTTAATAGAAGGACCAAGTCTCTACATATTTCTTCAACTACAGTAATAAGCAAGTTATGATTTGATACACTACTTTCACTAATTAATAATTAATCATCCAATTTTGATTAGAATAGCGCCTAATGTTCATTCGAACCATATTTTACCAGTTATTAAAGCACCATTTTCTCGAATAATTAGGAGTTGATGACACCGTACTTCTACTTCAAATTAA